AAAAAGTAATTATATAAATTGTTAATTTTAATTAAGACTATGAGTATGTAAGGTTTTTTTTTTCTTATTTATTAATTAAGAAAATTAATTATCTGTTAATTTAAAAATCTAAATATCTGTCACGGGTTTTAGAAACTGTTCACTATTTAGGGGAGAAAATGTGTAAGCGGCCAGATAGCTCAATCGCTACACAGCCGCGGTACATTTATTCTGTGGGTCACAGGTTTGAGTTCTGGTCAAGCTGAAAGTTTTCTCATCCTGTTTACTGCAAATAACCATTAGTTTAATTAACTATCAGCTCTGTAAACATCAGAAATTCAAGTACATGAATCAATATAGTGGGGAAAAAGGTTTAGGTTTAGAACTGTTTCATTATTAAAGAGAAAATGTGTAGCCGGCCGGATAGCTCAGTTGGTCTTCTGAAAGTCATGGGTTCGAGTCATGGTCAGGCAGTTTCAGTCAGGGTTTAGAAGTGGTTTTTCAACTGACACATGTTTGATTCATTAAATAGATTGCATTTAATTTGAAATGGACAAAGGCAGTATTGCGTGATACTTTTAAATCTACAAAAAGCATTTGGTACAGTTGATCACACTTTACTGCACATGAGAAGTTCTTTTTTCTTCTTCTTCATGGAACTTCAAGCATCTGCCATATGTAATGACATGTCTGCAACCCTAAGCAATAAGCTTTTATTATATGCACAGGCACAAGTATCAGACCTGGGAAGAAAAATATTACCAGATTGATAAAAAACCTGTGTTCATCTTAAAAGTGTCACAAACCAAAAAAAAAAATGTAAATGATGATCCCCTTTAAAAATATACTTAAAGTTAATAGTATATTTTTAAAGGGGGTCATTATTTACATTTTTTTTTTTTGGTTTTTGACACTTTTAAGATGAACACAGATTTTTTATTAATCTGGTCATATTTTTTCTTCCCAGGTGTGATACTTGTGCCTGTCATTATATGATGATGACTCAGGTATCCTTGTATCTGGTAAAGTAAATCTTAAGATTGGTTTATTGACTATGAATTGTCCTTGCATCTTGGCAAGACAGAGTCTATTCTTTTTGGTTTAAGTTTCAACATAAACTTTTAAGTTTCAACATAAACTGGGCCAAGCCTCCAGGTCACATGAAATGGTACTGCTATAAAGTACACATCTTTTGTTAAGTATTTAGGTGCAAACCTGGATCGAATTCTTTTGGCGTCGCCCTTTGATGCTTTGCATCAATGCTTTTCTTGTTTATTTCTAAAGGGCTCCACTACATTTTACCTCTGTAGGGCAACCGCTCTAGGCAACAAAGGGCATTTCTCTGTAGATGTTATCCTGTTTATTTTAATTAAATACAAAATATTATTATTAAATAACTTGTGCAACTTTTGTTACCACTGAATACGAATTATGTATTATGTTGACGTTATCGTGTTCATTTTTTTAATACAATACAGTTTGCTTTAAAAAAAAAAATAGAAAAAACAAAACGAAAACACACACCACAAACACGTGTTTATGATGTAAACAATAAAGTGGACTTCTGCCTTATTAAGGGAGATCATAATCGGGTTTTTAACTTTGAATATTCTTCTGTTGCCACGTTGTAATCGGTAAAGTGGTCTTACGCTGAATTCGGAGGGCATGAATTCGAGACACGATTGCGTATTGTACTAATAGATTATCCTTCAAAATTGTTTACTGTGTATGAAATGTTTCAAGGTCCACCTCGGACTCCTGTCATTTATTTCCGTAGATAATTTGATACTGTGAGAAACACTGGTTTTGTTAAATTCCCTCAGCTATAATTGAAATACTGTTGAAAGCGGCGTAAACCATATATTAAAAAATAAGAAGATATAAAACATAAAATGCATAGTTCATTATTTTCATAGGCTCTACATAGCACTGTATTATGTGCAGACAAAAACGAGCTTCTCCGAAAACCATATTCACACAAATTGAGGATCCTACATGATCGTCTTCAATACAAGGGAATCTGTATTAATTTTAATATGCAAAATTATCCGCTTATGAACATACAAAATAAATCCACGGATCTTTCGCCTCGAATCGAGAAATGATCGCGGCTTCAGGTCGCCTCAAAGATGCGATAGTAAACGCATACCGCGTGTCAGCGAGTTTTAAATAAATAAGAATATCTGTAATTATGTGAAATGCGTGAGAAATTCAAGCCATAGCATGAGAACGTGATTCCTCCTTTAAATTTAGTGCAGGGATATTATTTACTAGTATTTAGCTGCGAGAGAAAATAGAATAACTGATGGCTGTTAATAAATGAGCCGTGTCACGACAAAACCAACAAACTGTTCGCTTTTAAACATTTTAATAAGTAGAGAAACTGATAGCGAACAGAATGGATCCTGATCAGACTGCGCGGATGCGCAGGCTGGTCTGGATCCATTCTGGTCGCAAACGCACTATGTTGGTTTTGTCGTGACGCGGCTCAAATAAATTTTTATACGAGTAGAAAAGTTTTAAAATAAATGTCTGCTAGATTTATATAATTAAGACTACCAGTGAATCATGACTTACGTACAAATCGTTGTTACTTCGAGTTGATCATACATTTTTAAAACGTAAATTTGATTCAGTTCCTACTAACTGATATATACAATTCGAAAATGTTACATACGTATGATAACATGGAAGTTTATGTAGTACCGAGATACACATAACATCAATGGTAGGATACTACGTCATCGCGCACCTGCTGAATGCTCCCACTTGGACCATTTTTTCGTCGACTCAAAGGTAAAATACAATTTTATTATAAGAAAACGTAAGAGTATTAAAAAATCAAGTAGCGCACCAAAGAATGGCTATAGTTCTTGAGATAATTGTAAAAAAAGTTTATAGATTTATTGCCTGGTTTAGGCCTGAAAACGTGATAAGTGTTTTTCTCTGAATGCTCCCACTCGGACTTCTCCCGAAACATATATGAAATAAGGTTGAAAACCTTCTTTAAAATTATTTTTAACGTACCGGAACATAAACCGAGTCATGTACGAGGGTTGTCCAAAAAATTCGTGCACTGCAGTTATTGCCGTGAGAGTTATTAATGAAAAACCATGAATTATATATCATTTGAAGGGGAAATCTATCTCAAATAAGAAAACATTAGAAAAAGCCGTGTAATCGGTGTGTCGTGTAAAAGAATGGTCATTAAGTTACCTTAGTAACGTAATACCGGCGCACGACAAAAAATGGGTTAGTTCATTACTATGGTAATATTAATTATTTTGTCGCTTGTAAAGTGGCATTTGCTTTTTATGTCATAATTTGTTTTACTGTCAATAGAGGAATGATTAATGCAAATAATTTTTAGTTGTTTTTTTATCTTATGTAACGTACATGTAACATATTCCACCAGTGCATGAGTATATTGGACAACCCTCGTCACATGCGCCGGAATTACGGACGAACGTTTGCCTGACCGGTTGTCATCATCTACCTCCTCTCGCCCCTCTACAGAGCATTTGTGTCATTCAAAAACCAGCCTTCGTTACAATGAACTTGTCACACTGCCCTTTTAAATTCTTTGTAGGTATCTGTCGGTGTTTTTCCAATACTTGCCCAAAATTTAATGATCGTCCGTATTTCCAGACGTTTAGCGACTAAAATTTTCACGTTATTACAGTATTGACGACCACACAGAAATGTTTGTTACGGCCGTTATAATTGGGCAATGACGTCATTTTTTCTATTGACGTCAGGAATACGTATACACACTTTTTCCTGAATTTTGACATTAATATGTAGTGTTTAAAGAAAACTATGATGCATCAAAGTCATGAACTAACCCAATTTTTTGTCGTGCGCCGCTATTACGTTACCAAGGTAACTGTATGGCGATTTGTTTTCATGACATTACAGTTACACGGCTTTTTCTTTTGTTTTCTTATCTGAGACAGATTTCCCCTTCAGGTGATATATAATTCATGTTTTTCTATCAATAACTCTCACGACAATAACTGCAGTGCACGAATTTTTTGGACAACCCTCGTATACCCATTATTTTATATTAGTTACAAATGTTTCTATTTAAAAGTCAGTTTTTCTTAATTCTTTTTATAAAAATGGAAAATGCTCCCACTCGGACTCTACTTGAGAGATGCTCCCACTCGGACCCAAATTTATACAAATTTTGAAAGCACATTGCTGTCTCAAGATATTATTATTTTTTTCAAAATATCTTTATATTCACATTCATATAATCAGTAAGAATTCAATGAAACGGCATTTTTAAAATACGATACTAATATTTAAATTACTAAACAGTCTCGTAAATATGTCTTCTTAGAGGATTAGTATAAGGGAAAAAAAGTTGTGTTGAAACAATTCCTCGTTTAGAAGAGTCGCTTAAATAAGAAACAAATTGTTTATACATTTTAAAAATATAATAACGTTTTGTTTTGCAGAAAGTATTTGTATTTGTGACCAGTATGGGAAAAGGTATAAACCACATTGCGACGTAAGGAAGCACATGGCAGGACATCTTGGCACGGTCAAGCTGGAGCAAATATTTTAGATACCAACTGTGGATATATCTCATTGAGGAGGAATACTCTAGAAAACACAAGAATAATAGTTCTTTGAAGTAATTGTCTTTTGTTCAGTTTTTTGCGTTAATTTTTGGACAATGTGTCATAAAGGATCAATTCATCTGAAATTTCACCACTGGAGGATAGATTTCAATAAAGTAAAATACCGCAAACAAGAATGACAACTCTCCAGTTTTGGAGTTATTGCTCTTTGTATTCACTATCATTAGTTTGCAAGGACCATACCTCTAAAGGTATTTGAGATATAAACTTAAAACTTTATATTGAACATGTTTAATAGAAGTGAATAGCAGAGCATAAGGACCAGAAGTGTTCACTTAATGCTTCTTTGTTGTTTTACTTTGTTTTTTTCATGGGAGTGTTATTTTTGTCATGATTTATTATGTCTAGGCTATAACTTTTCATTAATTTTCACGAGTATCATTACTTGGATTTTTTACACGTATGTAAGGGTTACTTCCCCCTTTGAAATGTACTTCCTCCTTATGGCGGGGGATTTTGCTGTCTGTGATTCCTTCTTGTATTATTGTTATTATTTTAACGTCATTCAAATATCCTGAAATCATTTTTCTATGATTTTATTCATAAATATAATGCTTAAATGAAGATTTATCAATATTGTATGTCCCGAAAAGCATTATTTGTAAATATAATACCGAATTTACATTTCATAAAGGGAGGTAATTAGAAATATATTTTCCATTAAGTGTAAGTTGAATCTTTCAAAAGGAAATGAATGCATTATGCATACATGTATATTTTAATGATTACATATATTTTGGACAAGCATTTGCAGTACGTATTTTACATATTCCTTTATGTTTGAAAATTGTTTAAGTACCATAAATATTAATACATTTAATTTATAGACAATTTCAATTGGTAACAGCCTGAAATATAACTTTCATGATCTTTGATTACCAAAATATGGTAAAGACTGTGATAAAGAAATAACTATGAACTTTGTTTTCTTATTTTTTTTATCTTTTTATTTAGGTAAAAATACGAACACATGATAACTTTCATACTTAAAATTGTCAAAGTTGTTAATAATTGTGACGCCGTAGTATGGCAGTACATTGACTTTTTAACCAGTTCATGACAAAAATGATTTACATGTTGTTCTTTAATAAACTATTCAAATCAACCGATAGATATTGACTTCTTTATGTTCATAAACGTACCATTATGCTGTTTTAAAACCTAAATCACAAGTTTAACAAACACGCAAACCAATGGGTTTTAAATTATTAACAAGATATTAAAGTCAGCAATTATTGAATAAATGCTGGCCTCTAAAATGTGCACGAGTCCAGCAGAATCTTAATCCGGTATGGTACTAAACAATGAAAAATGACTTCTTTGTAAAACACCACAATTTTTTAACATCTAAACAAAACTTTATTCTTGAGATCCAAACTGCCCATTTAAAGTCTTATAGTCCTAGCTTGTTGTTGGCAATAATTTTGAATTATCCCTTCGGATGCAACACAAGCCAAGTGCACCTTTTTGTATAGTGATCCTGTCAGTTGAAACTTTGCCATGGCACCTTGTTCCTGCCCAACGACGTCATTCTACAGAATCAAAGAAGTGATCTCTGTAAAAAGAATGAAAAGTTAATGTTGCCAAACACAGAAGTTATTGACAAAATGGTGTTAAAATTGTGAGAATAATCCATAAAAGCTAACAAAGCAATGTGCTTTCAAAATGTATAAATTTGGGTCCGAGTGGGAGCATCTCTGAAATCGAGTCCGAGTGGGAGCATTTTCCATTTTCATAAAAAAAACCTTTAAAAGACTGACTTTTGAATAGAAATATTTGAAACTAATAAAGAATAATGGGTATACATGACTCGGTTTATGTTCCGATACGTTAAAAATAATTTTAAAGAAGGTTTTCAACCTTATTTCATATATGTTTCGGGAGAAGTCCGAGTGGGAGCATTCAGAGAAAAACACTTATCCCGTTTTCAGGCCTAAACCAGGCAATAAATCTATAAACTTTTTTTACAATTATCTCAAGTACTATAGCCATTCTTTGGTGCGCTACATGATTTTTTAATACTCTTACGTTTTTTTATAATAAAATTGTATTTTACCTTCGAGTCGACGAAAAAATGGTCCAAGTGGGAGCATTTAGCAAGTGCGCGATGACGTAGTATCCTACCATTGAACATGATGACACTGCGACTGCACCAGCATTTTCATTCTTTTTTTCTGAAATTCTTTGCAAAAGTTATGTTTGTATTATTTCCACTTAGGTGGCCTATTAAATTGTCTTTCAGTCCTCGAGGTATTTATAACCATTCGTTTCAGTTTTTTAGAGATTGATACAAACTTTTGCAGACAGCCATACCCTGATTTGTTGTACATGTATATAATTGAAGTTGTTCATCGAAATGCGGGCACCTGACAGGACTTTTAAAAGAACATTTTACGGAATATGTCTAAATACAATTGTTGTTGATGGTTTTCACACATTTTAATTCCAGTCAGTATACTATTCATCGGAAAAGTCGTGACAATTTCCTTGAGAAAAATATTTGACGTCACCAAAATCATTACGTTTTACTCATCCCTTATCTTATATTAAATTAGTAATAGCAAAATATCTTACGCGTTGACCCTATATTTTTATTGCATAAATATTTTCTTTCATGATTTCACTACATGTTAAAAAAAATATAGCAAAATTCACCGTGTTGATTTTTTGTTATTTTACAATCTTTATTGCGATATCGCGCGATATTTGTATCATAAATGGACGTCAGAATGTAGAGAAAAATGACGTAGAATCGCAGAGTATTAAGCAAATGTTAAAGAAAGACATAATTTCAAAGACATACATTTACTGAACATTATAAAATTAAAACGAAGGAAATCGGATGGAAATTAATAAGAACAGACCGGTTTATTGATAAAAAAGACGCAATTTCGCCGCCACCGATAGAGGGCGCTTTGACGTCATAGTAACGCTGTTTATATGTAAAATAATGCTGCAGAAGTAAAGCTTACATATCTATATTTATGAATACCAAAAATCATCAAGATCTGAGATGTTGTCAAATTTCGGTCGGAAAGTAGCGAGCTACCTTAATTGATAATAATGTAAATTCAAGACTTATACAGGCGTACAAAATAATTGATGTGCAAAATTTATGTTTATTGATTAACTTCTGTGTATACATGTATACTAAACAATTGAAAAATCTCCTTATCTGAAGTTTGTTTGCAAAATCATGCAAACGATCAATGTTTGAAAACTAAATGCAATATTGTTAAAACCTCCTCAGATAACGACTTGTTTTAAGGATAAGAAGGGCATGATTACGGTGTCAGAGACAGACACATGAAAGAATATTACAATTGATAAGAACCCAGGTCGTAATTGTGTAACTATAAATTTCTTATTTCTGGGATAAATTAGGTCATTTTGTAGTTAAAGCAAGTAAATATGTTTTAATTATTAACTTTATTTCTAGGAATGTTAATTCGTAACAATCGTATTTGTACAAAACGAAATAAAGAAAAAAATCTTAAAAACTGAAAGCCTTTTACTTTCTTGAATCTTATATATTAAATACGTTCAGAACTGTTAATTAAAGGGAGACACAGGCAAAATTTTCATTTCTTAGTTTTGATTTTTTTAAATTCATTTTTTCTGTATATGTTCAAATGAAAACACTAGACTGTCAAGCGAACAAAACTTTTCTCCTTATAAAGAATAAAAAGGTGGTTTCCTAACTTGACTCACGTGGGTCAGGTTAGAGCGTTCGTTAAGATTTCACAATAGCTTTCATAATTAAATCTAGAAACTTAAAAACATCTGAAATGAATGACTTACACTTATTTAATCATACAATATCCACAGTATCTGTTATTGTAACTTCCAGGGTTTGTTAAAGTCACGTGACTTGTTTCAAAACCTCTCGGTGATTCTGTCAGCGTATAAATTTCGTTCAACATATAATTATAAATACATTCACACTTCAAACCCAAAATATAAAGAAATTATACAGAAATTCATGCCGGGACTTAAAAAATGTAATTTTGGAGTGATTTGAGTACATAAAATCATTTTAATATTTTTGTCATTAATTTGCCTGAGTATCCCTTTAATAGATAATTTGCTTCCTTGGGATCAAACTGTTTGTGTGAAAGGTAAAGATATAAATGAGAAACAAGTCCGCAAAATATGTCTTCTGCAGTTGGGACTTGGTATAAGTAATTACGGTCATTTTTAAGCAAGCAATGCTAAAATTTCTTTAGGTATCCGAAACTAAGAGATACATACCAACGTTAATCCTGGTTTATCTCGGTTTATGATTGTTCTTAAAGAATTATGTGTTTTGACGCGTTATTTCTGACTGGAATATTATTATAGACTGCATAAAGATTAGCATATGTGTTTTCTCAAACTTCAATGCATTAGTTCGTTACAAATTTGACATAAATGAGATAATATGACAACAAACAGTATTATTATTACATAATCTTTTCACCTTAGGTGATAAACTAGGACAATTATCTATTTCACAATCAATACTCAGTCAGTCCTTTCAGGATTATAAACAGGCCTTATTCTTGCTTTGCTGTGAAACAATCTCTGAAACAACTTGAATATATCCCATGTTCTCATTTGTTCTTTTGTCATTTACAACACAATCGAAATATGTAAAGTTAAACAACGTTGTTATGCCTTTTTCAAGCTTTTATCGTCTGCATACACTCCATGAAAGTCATATGGAAATCGTTCAATTCCTTCAAATTCTACCCGAGCAATTTCTGTGAATGATTTTGCATCAAGAACCAGTAGAAAACATGAATTGTCGTCATCACCTTCTCCAACACGATTCACTGCTGCAACCACAACACCTGGAATAGAATAAAATAAAATATGTTTAGAGAAATATATTTCCGACAATTAAGACAAAAAACATCCATACAATTTATTGTACATGTAACTTATTTTGAGGAATAAATAAATTTAGATATTCCTATACTTATATGCAAACAGAGTAGGTTACAATATAAAGTAACGTTTGGAAATATTGGATTATAAAATGTTAACAGAATTAAACTAGGTAATTAAACGAAGTTGATATAATGCCATATAGAGTGCATAAAAGAACAATATCAACTTTAATGTTAGACGAAGTTTGTAATTCTTTGAATTTGAAGTAAGTAAAGAACAGAATTATATAGTGTTAACTAAATTATTAGAATCAATTGGACAGAACACAGTGAAAGAGAACTTAAAAAAGTTTAATATCTACAAGTATTGTGTCGTCATGTTATCCTTAATTATCATACTTCGTTATATGAAAGTATAGTGACGACCAGAGGCACATGTCCTTTCAATATGGTTAAAATCACTGTTTTAAAAATATACATACGGTAATCAGACCATTGGTTAATATGAAAACATTCACAGAAACATTGTTACATCTGAGTTTTTAAATCTCGCTGTGTCAAAAGTATATATAAAGCCATACTTTTCAACCTTGACAATAAAACACTTACGTGTTTTAATACTCTTACCTGAACATAAACAAAAACTTATAAATCAAGAACGTCAAATGTTGTTAACAATCATTATAATGATTAACTATGTTACATAAATATTCCCTTTTTATTCGATATGTTCTCCACGTTCTGTGTTTAAAGATTTAATATATGAACATCATCAAGTAAGTACCGTCATCTTCAGAAGCACCACGCGGTTTAGGTACAAACACAGGTTCCGATGGATAACATTTGTCTTCTTCCCATTCTATATACGTCTTTGTGCTGGCATCAACTTTTGCAAGCTATAATATGAAGTGACAGAATAAAAAACAACATTCACTGTTATGGTAAAGGTTAGGCGAGTTGCCATCTTGATCAAGTTATCTAAGTCCGAGAATGCATAAAAAGACTCATAATACATATAATTATAATCAAAATACATTCAACAGATTATGCTACAAAGAATATATAATAGAATATATAATAGTAAAAATTATTCTCCTTTTATCTTAAAATCCATCGTAAAGTTGTCAAGACGCAGTGTTTTATAAATACAACCCTGTCAAATAAGTATTGTTGGTTTTATCAAAAATAAACCTTATATATATTTTATAAATTAAATGATACCTACTGTGGTTAATGGATTTTTCTTATGTCTGAAAGCAACGCCATATATGTATCTATATTTTTTGGTGTTGTACTTCCTGTAGTTTATTTGTGGAAATTCTAACCCTGAAACAGTTTATAAAACATTATTATTTTAACCATGTTCTATTTGAACAATAGATGGATGATTTAGAAATTTCAAATAAATGAATTAATCTAAATAACACAAAAATTATATTTTATACAGTCAGTGGAAAAAATAAAATAAAACCTAATCGGTTAAGTCAATAATTTGAAATTCTGACGTCAGACGATTTACAATGTACATTTTCATTAATTATTGGTAATAATTATTAATTAATTAATTCAAAAACGATGGAAACTTCTTCCTATTTTTGTGTAATTATTATGCACGATAATTCAATGAAGATAGCTTGATACTGTTCATTTGATTATGACCCATTTTTGGAGATATAATGATGAACAATTAAGGTTAGGCAGGTTTGCTTGACTCTGAACTGGTAGCTAAAGCTAATTACTTAGGTAAGTAGAAAACATGGTGGTGCATACAAAAAAAATGAAACCTACCAATGTCAGCCAAAATTTCTGGTTGGAGATGAAATGTTTTGTCGTCAATCTTTTTGCATTTTGCAGTAGTACGCTCTAACGATACCATATCCCCTCCTTTTTCTTCCTGTATTAAAACGTTAGGAATCAGTTAATAGCTTTTTGATAAAAATATACTAGTATTTAATACGACAGAATAAGATAAAACCCTGTATCAAAAATGTTATCATTCGAGCTATATTTAGGTAAATCCATGGAAGAACTTATGAGTGTTTTGGTGATATGACGAAATATTGTTGTGATATCATTAGTATGATCCCTGTTGGAAGAAATCCAACATCCTTAACTTCATTATTAACCTGTATTTCTAAAACATAATAAGCTATCACTGAGCTAGGAGACGGTAATCTGCAATTCTACGTATATTGTTCGAACTCGTGGGTAAAACAGAAATGTTTACAAACTTTTCCGAGATCCAGAGGAATGACATATCGTCTTGGTTCAGGTTCACTAGCGTTCTTCAGATTTTCTTCATATTCCTTTGAAGTAAGATTTTTCATGTAGAAACGTTCTAATACTTTAGTGTCTTCGTGGCATGATATGTCAACTATGATGTGTCCTGAAATATTACAAGCATCAACAGTCGTGCATTTTTCCCTAATTTACGAAGATATAAAAAGGGTGAGTGCTAGAAATCTAAAAGCAGTCCTTGACTTACTCCTTAATAACGCAATCATTCATTTACAGTTTTTAGTGTTCGCTTTATTAAGATTAACAAGATATAGAATAATATCATTAAAAAAGCCGAATAACTCATGAGTATTACATTGGAGAAAACTGACATAAAAGCTTTCTGTAGAATTCTCTTCATGCAATTATTTTATTTTATTTTCTTGTGACGCTGTAAATGCAGTCGTAAAACGATGTAAATAAAACACAATTTAAAATTAGATTCGCATGCGCTATATAACATTTCCAGGAATCCAGGCGAACTCATTACGTGTTTTCTTTATGTAGCTCAGAAGTATCAGCACCAGTGAATTCCGACGATGGTGTTGTAATGGACATGAATAGATTACAAAAAAAAATGAATGACGATTACATATAGAGCTAAGGTTAATGAAATAATCTATACATTGCATTCTAATGAGGCGTAATTCGCTTAAAAATCGGACACATCTTAAAAATGCTAATACTGGCATCAATTTGACTCAAAATACTGGCTCTGTATGTCAATTACCTTGTTCTTCATATGCATTTATCTGGTGAAAATATAAAAATGCATCTGATTCGATCACGTGATCTGCATTTATTTCTTCTCCGGTTTTTCTATCGACTATTCTGAACCGATTCTGTAAAATAAAAATAATATTTGGGTATGTTAGGCAAATCTGTCATATAAAATAACACTGAAAGGTCATTGATTATTAATTAAACTGATTACGATGTTAATTTTAACCTTATGAACCGTGTTGCCCTGTCTGAGTGTCAAATATTAATCTGATTACTATCTTTATATCCAATTTATGAATGCGTACTGTTCAGCGTTAAAATAATGAAACACTGCATCAAACAATATATCTATATGCCGTCTCCTGCCCGGTGTCATACCGTTGAATTGTGCAAATACAACTTTTTGAAAATGTTCCTTTCCCGTCCAAGGCCTATCAAGATTTAAGACAAAACTTTTTATTTAAAATATGGCTAAAATAGAAGACTTACGATGCTGAATATTATTCAACAAGACTAAATTCAGCCTTTATCATGAAAATATTATTTTTATTTTTAAAAAGAAAAAATAACTTATTAATAACTGTTTGAAATTTGATGACCTATTCATTCATTTGTATTTACCTTAATTTCAGGATAGCCTGTCAGGGACGAAGCAAAAGCATATCCTGTCTTTCTGCCTAATAGAATTTTCGGTACGTTTGACAATAGTGGCTGCTGTACAAAAACAAAATAATTTTCCGTCATACTGAAGCTATGGTAGTAGTTAAAATGAATTTTCCATGGCGATTGTGTCTTGAATACGATCTCGCCTGCTGGAAATTCAGTTTCGCCTTCTGTAACAGAAAGTGTATCAAATCTTTATCATCAATTTGCATTTGTTGTTTTTGTTGTTTGTGTTGTATATATATATATATATTTTTAGAAATTTATGGAAATCAAGTTAAAATAACATAAAGATTAACGTGCAAGAATGTGAGCATCAGTAATATATCATTTACATTTTGTATTGCCTGTTTTTCTTTTCTAACCAACTTTCGCCACATTGTACACATTGTTCCATATAATAGTGAAAATTCATTTTTCGGATGCGGTGATTTTTTAATTAAAACAACAATTATGAATCCGATAACAAAATGTATGAATCCGATAACAAATGAAAAGCCATAATTTACTTGAGATACTTTATTTTCTTTGTAAATACAGCTAAACGTACGTACCTTTCTTTGCTGGCACTTTAGAAGAAAAATGTGGAAAAAGCCCCGTTTAATGAATGTCCAAAATTGTACATGTTTTTCCTCTTTCCCAAAGGGGATGAGCCGTAGACAAATACTCGACCTTTTTTCCAACAAAATCTCTTGAAAAAAATGTTGTTCATGTAGAAAAATTTGAAAAACTTTTCGGGAAAGTGATGTACTTTTTGATGGTAAAGAACTTAATATTAATTTGCCAAATGAATATAAAATTCCACTATTATTCCGACCTATACACTATTTTAAGTCAATCTGGTAAAGTTACTGTAATCTAATGATCACTTGTTCTTGAAGAGGGCGACATAAGCTTCGGCATCTAATCTTCTTTCTGGAAGTGACCTTGATTCTATCGGAATTTGACATAATCTATTATAGCTTACATGATTAGTATCTACATCACGAACACTGAATGAATGAAATTCAGAAACCTCAGCTTACCATTCTGGGAGCAATTAAATCAACTCGTTCAACTCGTTCATACGACATGACAATTATTTATATATAACACAAACAACACAATCATCACCAATACATGATATGAGCAGCACGATCTTCATAGTGATATAACATATGAACTTTAATTCAACTGCAAACTTTAGCAAAAATAATAAGCAATCTTCTTTTGCCCCCGACCACACCCACGCGTATATAATATAATAGTGACGAATAATGTCAATTAAAAATAAGTTTGGTTTTGGCGCGTTACTTTATTATCAATAAATATATTTTTGTGTGGTACCTTTTCAGTTCTGTCAAGTGTTTCTGGATCTATTTTGTTAAGATACTTAATCTCTGTTGTTGTATATAGCTCGTCTTTTAGCGGGAAAACATTAACAAGTGTGTTATCACTCATATCGTCTGTTTCAAATATTGTCAAAAATCTGAAATCAAAATTTTAACATTGAAAGTAATAGAAGAGATTTGAATTATTTGCACAAATGGCACCATTTTTCTTGATGTTTCTCTTAGTAAAATAAGCTAAATTATAATAAGATAAAGCACATGCAATATATATAATAATCAATTTTATATTACTGGCATATACTGATGTTACGTTTTTCATGATATCTGCTGACCCGGTGACATATTTTTATTTCAAAAGTCACAAATCGTAATTCATTGACAAATGAAATATAATATATCTTACATGTTAACTTCTTTATCATTTTCACAGGGTACTTCCTTTCTATGCTCTGTTATTTTCAAGTCACGTCTGCATCAGACAAAGTGTTTACAAAACACAAAACAATTTTGTCAAACTAAACAAACTTAAACATTTACACATTTCTAGCGTATTATCTTTCAAAATTATTAACCAGTACATTTATGAAGACGGACAATCTATGAAAGTTATAACTATGCTATGAAATACCTCTGAAATATGTTCTTGCAGGGATCCGGGCTAGCTGCTGTAGCAAACTCATTGATTGTGATCCTGCCAGAAGTTGTATTATTCAAAAATGTGTCGCTTCTTAAAAACTTTCTCTGATATGTAACCTTTCCGTCCGCTGTTAAAATAATGATTATTTTATTCTTTCTTAACTATCATCTGACTTTTCTAACACTGAAATGCCTATCTTTTATATAAAACCTCAACAGATAATTAAATCCAATGTTTTGTATTGACAGTTTATCATTCAATCATTTATTTTGACCAAAAGTCACTATCTGGAACAAAGTTAAATGTTATTTTCCAGCATAACGTGTAAGGACATCATAGAAATACAATTCTAAATACATGTAAAATGATACAATTATTAACATTGAAAGAATAGTTATCAATAATGTATAATGAAACTACAATGTATACATAACAGGTTAATGCACGTACAATTGCAAAGTGCAATGCGGAGATGAAAGAAGTAGCAACGACCATGCAAGGCTACTTCATCCTCGTAATCATTTCTGAAGTTACTTGCTCGTCGTTTTAGCTTAATGTTTTCAAATTTCACTAAACGGCTTCATTACTTGATCTACGTGTGCAAAGACACTTAACAAAGGTTTTAAGTACTCAGATGATATAAATATTCATTTTTATTCTGACAATAATTAAATTAATTTTGTTTATTGTAAAATACGGAATATTGACTGCCGTTTATTTTATGACATCTACACGTCAATGTGCACTTCGTGCTAGATAGACAGTATAGGTTAGTTTGAAAAAACTTTCATAATTATTTCAGTGTTTTATGCGTGTGCATTACTCGCACAATATTTTTCAAAGAAAAACACAGACAACTTTTTCCATGCTGCGAACTAATATACTGATTAAGAAACATTCCCTGTGATATTTTATCCTTTATTTTTAATATGATTACTTACAATAAGATTGAAAAAGGTGTTGCAATAAAGATATGGTGCAAGCACGTGAAATTGGCTTGACAAATTTAAATTGCAGATCTTGGACAAGCATTTTCTAGAAATCGCCCTTCGGCCGGGTAATTCGAATGAAACATCCGTAGAATAGACACCTGCTTGAGCAAAAGAGCTAATAGTTTTTTGCTTTGTTTTTCTTTCAAGAGAATTTGTTTAAATAATGTTAACCCTACAAAAATCTATACACTGGCTTCAGCTTTTTTACATGAAGATAGTATTTCATTGTTATATACTCGTATAGGTAACCGGACAAAGATGTTACGGGTTTACAGACATGGCTGATTGTTTGCCCGAAGACGCCCTTTTGATGTCAAACAATAAATTCACGACACTGTATTGATATACTATGATTAAAAACTATTTTAGATGTACCCGAAGCTCAACAGCGGGTCATACATTGGATGTATTTTGTCCATGATTATATTATTTAAACACCAGAACAATAAAGATAAATGAATAATGATTGTACTTTGTAAACAAAGCATTATATGGTTTTATTTTTTGAACAGGATATATGCACGTTTAAAATCAGAGTAAATAGGACATTTGTTTAGTGTAAAGGTCGATTATTACAGGTAAAGCCCGAAGCCTATGATTTCCGGACAAAACATAAGGAACAGTTAACGAGACTCAAAGTATTTAGTCAATGCAACATAATTGTGTCCAAAACTTACAGATGTGGAATCGTTGTAACATTGACATGCCATCAAACCAGTGCTTGAACTTGTGTTCTCCAACCTCAAACATTCCCGGACCATTGCGGTATAGACTACCCTTTATCCATACAGGTATTGAACCTGCAAATAAAAAGTACGGAAATTATTACTGTCAAATTGCCTTTAACAAATTAGAGAGAAATTTTCATTACGAAGAGGTGATCGCAATCAGTAATTACATCATATAGAATAGAGAAAAACGGAATACTTAAAGAACGCCCAAAACGACAACATTGAAACTGTTTCAAGTTCGGTTTCACTGTGCCTGTTATTGCAGATACTGGAAAATGCAAGTTATCGTTCATTCTCACTAGCACCGACCCAATTGGACAAGCAGAACTCACAGTCAACGCATTTTTCTCGGAGTTGGCTTGCTTGTTTATTCACTCGAAGATTTTTAAATATCGCTCAGCAAATTCTTACTATTGTGCTTTTGGTATTTTTGTCCCCCGTATTTTTTATCCTTTGTTTAGTTGGATATTTCCAGTATTTCAACTTGAATACTGTATAATCACCACCCTAAGAATATGTTGCCTGCCTGCCTTGCAAATTTGGCATTACAACCTTTCGTCTTTGATTCGTGACCTCTGATCCTGTTCAAAATACAATCTTATTCAATTGAGCTCATTTTTGTTCTCGTTTAGAGCAAACGCATTATTTTGCTGAGAATAAATACGCCCCTTTCATGGCCGTCTGCTTAAGTCGGTGCTGGGGGGAGCATGGACGGTAGATTTCGCTTTCCAGTGCCGTCCATAAATAGCACGAGCAAACCGTGCCTGAAACAGTTTCAATCTTGCCGTTTTGGGCGTTTTATACGTTCTTTTTTATAAACATTATTATATGGCCGATCATATCATAATATTGTCAAACGTGTTTATTGAAGAAATGTTGTTTCGACATACCTTTGACAGTTCCTTGAAGAGGTTCTTCTACCTCGTTTTCTATCGTTTTGTACAATTTATGCATGCTTGCTGCGGCCACGCCAACTGTTGATGAACTCCGTGCCAATTTCAACATACAGTCTTATGTAGAATAGCGCTACTGAATTCCAAGAGTTATCACCTCTAGATCGTTATAAAATGATGAATTTATGTTTAAGGGTAGTCCTTTACTTCGATGCATGAAGTACATACAGAAAGTTGGAGTGATTTAAAAAAAATATCGAAATGTGAAACGCAACAACTTGCTTAAATATGCAAAACTCGAAACACGAAAGCTCCTATACAATAAGATATACATGTAATTAGTTTAATATTATGTTTTTTCACTTTAGACCGGTTTGTATACAGTTGTATTCCCTCATAGATACAAACATCAACGTCCGGCTAAATGTAGTTCCAATTTCAACAAATAAGTAAGACTTAATATAAAGTTTATATTTTAAAGGTGTGTGTAATTTAGACTAAATTTAACATATCTTAGAACACTCGTACCTAGTTTATACAGAATCTATTTTAATTCGTGTGTAGCTTGTAGACACACTCTCTTACCAGTTTCTGGAACCAACCGGTACTGAGTTTCTTGCTCAAAAATAACAAATAAAAAGAAGTAAACAAACAAACAAACGACGGGTTATGAGATCCTTAACGCTCGTACTTTTATACAACAACTATTTGGCGCTGTCTGTAAATTATTAAGTAAACCCTCTAAAAGTTATTCCAATTTCTACATATCCGACATTTTGTAAATGTAGTTATGTGAAAATAACTTATATATTATATGCACAGAAACCTTTGTAACTGTGCGAATAAATATTTAGAGAACGACGTGCAAAGTTTATGACTAAACCGTAACTTTCCGGCGCGCGTGTCACTCTTACTACTTAATTAAAGGTCCACTACTAAGACCCAATAAAAAGTATGCTAAACAAAAGACATTTTTCTTATCACCTCAAAAGTGTTCAGGTATGTAAAACTGAGTAGATTGATATCATATTATGATTATAATATTTCTATACGACCACTTAATCAATGCCATTGTCATGCCTGTTTTTAAACCGAACGAACGTTCTCCGATTTCCCCCGAATATTATGTTAAAAGCATGTATGTTTTTGTCTTGAGAGGTTTGTCTTTGGGGTTTTCCGGATTGATTTCATAACGAGGCTGTATACATGTAGAACCGCCATAACTTTATTTATCTCGCGGAAAAGTGGTTGATTTATATAAGGAAGTGATATACGAGTGTCATTTAGATTATTACACTCGAGATAATTGTATGAAGGCTAGTTTAACTAGCTTTTTCTGTCTGTCTCACTGACCGTCCGTCTAGCTGTCTGTATACATTACAATATTTGTAAACAATCTTTGATAACAACGAGTTGTATGTAAATAATACCATCTTATCGATAAAGTCCAGTTTAAAAGTGTGTGAGCAAATTAACACTGACATATTTATAATCATGTGGCTATAATAGTTTATCTGTTACATTTTGCGTACTATTACCTTTTATACTCTAATACTATATATTACTTACCAGTTTAGAACAATAATTAAGTAGACAGTGTATACATCTACGCTAATCAACTTGATAAAATTTCTTTTATGATATTATTTTTCAGTAATATGATTACATGCATTGAAAAAAATCAGGAAGTAAATTCCAAAAATAAATCCGACAATAAATAATATCACTTTACAAATCCAGTTTCCTCTTCTAGAAACATTATACAATCAATATTATAGATACAATTTAAACATGTTCATCTATTACTTGTAGGAAGCCTGTACACTTTATTTGAGTTAAAGACACATTAAGACACGATTTTTCCTCTCAAGACAAAAACATACATGCTTTTAACATAATGTTAATACATAATTGATTTCGAGCGTGTTTACATGCTTGTCACGAGAATAAAGCAGCGTTTATTGTTAAATTATATAAACTTTTAAGTAATAAAATTATACCATTTTGGGGGATGAATGAGTTAGTAACGCAACATATTTAAGTAGTTGAATAGACAAAAATAATCAATTTAAAACATACCTGTTATAACAATCCAGTGAATAAATCCATGTACTTGCATAAAAACTAATTGTTCTATAAATAACCTGTCATTATTGTCACATGATCTGTCTAGTTGACGAGTGTCATGTGACTGCTGATTTGACATATTATAATGATGTCTACGTCATGAACATAATGAAATAAACAGAAACTGAATATGATTATAGCAACAGTTTAGAACATTATTTTAAATGATAACTTGTCGAAACTGTACGTGGTAGCTTATTTTATATATTTAGAAAATTAATTACTTTACTTGATAAAAAATCCATTTCAGTATTATCTATTTACTATATATCTAGAAAACCTTCTGGACGCTTCGCTATAAGATATAGATATTCAATATTTTTAGAGCGGCCTAAACTGCGCCCGGGCAAATGTAAGCTTAATGAATATAGCTTAATGTTTCATCAGTAAAATTACCTTTCTTTTTAATTAATATTTTTTACAAAAAAAACTTAATAAACATTAATTGGTTTCAATGTTTTCTTATTTTCTATTTTCTGCGGACGCTTTGACGAGGTACAAATGTTAGTTCATCGGACATTCTTTAGTTTTATGAATACAAACAAAACTTTTATTGCTTAAATTGCTTTTTTATTTCCAAAAATATTTTAAGAAAACATTACGTAGCTAAAATGAAAAAGTATAAGAGCCTTACTCTTTTTTAAAATCACAATAGTACTTCCGGACGCTTCCAAACGCTTCAAAATTTGCCTCCGGACGCTTGTTAGTTATACTGCAGATTTCACAAGTCGTTGCTTGATTCTTGAAGTGCTCGATTCCCATTTTTTCCCAAAACGAGATTTATTTTTAATGAATTGAACCCGTCTCCAGTTTGCCTCCAGTACACGTACATTTTGACGTCATTTATGTTAAAACAAAGGGGATCACCCAATGCGTTTTTACTTTCCTGAACCGAGCTCAACTTGGTTCTATATTGTTAAAACATATTCAAAGTTTCCTATCAAAAATCGCTGGTATTATTTTGTTTTATCTCCACTGTTTGAAAATGCGCACGGCTTTATCAAAATATATCACGTTATGGCTGCTTGTTCGTAAAGATTTGCTCTATACCCTGTCGGGCTTTAATGCCATTGATTTTTGAGGCATGGAGGTGTGTTTTTAAGCTACAGTCTCACTAACATCCCGGCAGAGCCCCGGCAGAGCCCCGGTAGACGTCCGGGGTGATCCGGGAACGACCGGGGTACGACCGGGAACAACCGGGGTACATCCGTAACTCTGCCGGCAACGTCCTGGATAATCCGGGATGATCCGGGAACATCCGGCATTCGACCCCGGATGGAATAAAATATTTAATATCACCGGGGTGGTCCGGGATGATCCGGGAAGGTATAGCTTTGCCGGCTTCATCCTTAGCTCTGCCGGGAACGACCGGGGTTATACCGGGAAAGCACCGTAGCTCTGCCGGCACAAACCGGGGATGATCCGGGGTATGATATAGCCGGTAAAGCTACGGTAGAGCCCCGGTATATGCCGGCAGAGCCCCGGTAACTACAGGCAGAGCCCCGGAGGATAAAGGTAGAGCTACGGTTGATCCCGGTAGAGCCCCGGTAGAGCCCCGGCAAAGCCCGGATCATTTCAAATGAATAAGGACAATTTACGATAATTGAACTTGTTTGTATTAAAAGCCTTCCCATTTCCCTTCTATCCAGTATGGCGTAAGGATTTTTCAGAAAATCATCATGAATTACTATTCTGGAACAATAGATATTATATTAAATAAAAATTATGTATCAAAGTTACCATTTTCGGGCGTTTTCAATCCACCGGGGTTCTACCGGGGCTCTGCCTGGATCGACCGGGGCTCTGCCTGGGTCAACCGGGGCTCTTCCGGCGTCATCCGGGAACGACGGGAAAGCATCGGCATGAACCGTAGCTTCACCTGGGCTCTGTCTGGATGATCCGGAGCGCATCCTGGGTGGTTAGTAGGGAACTACCGTAGTGCTGCCGGGGTAAGTGTGACCGCAACAATAATTTCATCCCGGATCGTCCCGGATCATCCCGGTAACTTACCGGGATGGTCCTGGGCTCTGCCGGGAGTAAGTGAGACCGAGGCTTTGGGTTTATTTTAGCTCGGCGCCGGAAATTCCATATGTCCGAGATCTCAGCGTCCATGCCGGTCCACTCTAGTAGTCTCATCGGGGACGTCTTTTTCATGCCGATCTTCCTAAGTCCTGTTCTTCGTTCGATGGAGGAAAGACAATACCGGAAAAGCATCAAGTTCCGTGACGGCAAACAGGCGGTTGACATAAAACGGCTCTTAATTGTTAGCGCCACCCTCCAGAGTTAGTCACGACAGGTCAACCAATCATCTCTGGTACTTAAGATGACTTGACCTTGACCTGCCGTGTGCCTTCTCCGCGACGTGCACGCCTCCACAGACACTTGAGGTTTGGAGCTCAAAACGCCTTTAAAATCCAAATAAAGTGCATATTTGTCAATCCCAGCACATGTACTGATCATATATATAAAAAAAACTTAATATAAGCCGTTTTGAAAAAAATCATATCTCAACATCTAATAGTATTATTATAGATGTTAAAATATGATTTTTTTTTTCAAAAATCTGGAGGGATTTGGAGAAGAGGCATGGAGGGGCATGTGACCTGCTTTTTGTACGTAGAGTGCCTTGTGGTATTTACCCTGTTGATGATTGGTTAATCAATCTTGTGTAACTGTTACTTTAATGATTGGTTATTTTTTTCTTTTTTGTTTAGTAAATTCGTTAATAAAACAACTAAAAAATGCACACACATTCATCTTAATTAAAACGTTTTTTTAAAAGATACGAAAGAATAGTGTTATTGAAATAAAGGAAAAGACAAGCAGAATGAAAATATCGATAATTTTGATGCTCTTATTCAACAATCTCCCACGCAGTGATCTCCCCTTATCAATACTTCATTACAATTTTCTGCCAAGGGAGGTAATCACTGTGAGGAGTTTGCTAATTTAATTGTGATTACCTCCCCTAACTATCATTTTGTAGTACTCAGTGGATTATTGGCGTCCGCGCCGAAGCGCGGCGCCCCTTTATGGAATGAAATCAGATTTTGTGAAAGGGCGACAGCAACTTCTCGAGCCTTTTAGTCGGT